ATATTTATGTAATTTATTAAATTTTTTAAAGGGTCGAGTTGTGTTCGTTTAGTGGGTATAAAATTTATCCCGGCCATGGGAAGAAGATGATAAAAACTGATGGAAAGGTACAATGTGGTTTTCTATATTTTAGTTCATGGTATCAATCATAATGCATCACAGATAATTTGTATTTAATTTTTTAACATTATTTTTACTAATGAATCGTTTTCTGTATATTTTGAGACATGTTTTGAGCACGTGATTGTTTTATATTGTTTTCAAGAATATAACAGTTGATTTTGTCTCACTCTTTTTTATCTCAACATTTATGAATACACTGCTTATTTAGGGAATATCTGAAATGCCTACATAAGCAGTATTCTTAAATGTTGATAAGTTTATGGTACTAAGTTTAGAATTTGCATATTTCAATTATTATTATAATTTCTTTTTGTTTTGATTAATTTTTGCTAAATGTGGGATAAAGAAATCATGAGAGGGGGTTTAGAAAATGATATGAAGAAAATTTAGTAATGTAGTTGTAACCATGGAAATTGTATCATCTACAATGGGTACGTTCGTAAAGTTGAACGAGTTAAACGAGAATGACGTCATCGTTATTCTTATTTCATTAGACTTTTTGAACGATTTGTTTATAACTAAATGGCTGTTTCTAAAATCGAAGATATGAATGTTGCTAGTATAGCCGTATCCGAAATATTTTTCTTAGATTGCTTCGGGTGGACAGTTATTTCTATCATTTCACCTTTTAATTCACAGTTTAAACTCTTGAGTAGATTTAGAAACATCGATATCATCGGCCGCCATTTTCTTAACAAAGTGAACTAACTCTTTCCTTTTTGAACTTCGTTAGAGTTTCGTTCAAAACGTTGTCACTGCAGATTGACCCAATATATACTAAAAGCATTCAATATATTTTGCATGTTCATGCTATGATTACAATTTATAATAATAGCATATATAGAACAGAGAAAAATCAAGGAAATTCATTTTTCCTGTAATGCTATATTGAATTTAAGTGTTATTTTACAACATACCCTCACCTGTACTGTTAATAAGCACTGTTGCAAGAGAAAAAACAAAAAATAGTTCATAGTATAAGTAAGCCTGTAAAACATAACATGAACAGTTATTTTTTATTAGATGGGACCTTAATCCTTATGATTGAGCCTTAATTGCTCTGCAGCCCATTGGCATGAGTGAATGGCATTCTTCAAGTATTCCATACCAGGCATGAAACCAAATTCTTCTAATACATTCTTCGATTGCTGTTTATTTTCAGGCTTCTTCTCTGCTATTTTTGTGCCCGTAATTTGCCAATAGTTTTCAGTAGGATTGAGATCATTACTTATCTGGCCAGCTTAAGCATCTGAGCTAGTTCTCTTGTAGAATTTTTTTACCTAAACAACAATTTGTGTGTCAGTTTAAGTGACAGTAATGCTAATAAACTAAAGAGAAAGAACACACTATACTTTTTACACTGTGATGTGGCATATATTCATTCTAAAACATGCAGGATTTTGACATCACAAAATTGTTCCTTGATTGTTAGAATTGGATAAGCAGATATGTTTTTGTAGCACTTTGCATTTAAACACCCATTTATAAAGTTAGCCTGCTGACACCTTTACTGAAAAGACATCACACAACATTTAACTCACTAGAATTCCTCATCAAGCAATTCCTATTGTACGTCTTGCCTTTTCTATGCTTAACATAGACCACCATTATGAAAACCTGTATTGCTGCCTATATGAACAAGAACTATTCATTTTCCCTTCCCAGAAGGATTTTTCAATCCAGTGGATTGTCCAGACAAAAGCTTCACAATATGACATAATTGAACAGTCCTTCCATACTTCATTCTTGGTATGCCCTGCATTAATCTATGTTTTGTCCAATTAGTAAATCTTACGGCCTAAAGAATGCATTTCTCTTATTTTTCATAGATATTCCCCTTTCCATAAAATGATATTGTCTCTTTCAATTAATCTATTTCTGTTTCAGTTTGTAAAATTAAGTAATTTTAACAAATTGTATATCGTGGATCATGTAAAGTCTGGTAAATTTGGATCATCATTAACAGCCTGTAATACCTTGTCTACAGTGGGCTAATTCATTTAAAAAATAAAAATTTGTACTTTACCTCTAATTGCACATTTTGTGAATTCATCATACTTTTCAACAAGTTGAGTATGTTTATGGATTTTTGAAGGAGTTATTAGTTTACCATTAATAGAATATTCTTTACAAATTCTGTGAATGCTCCATTCTGATATCTCTGATGTCTTTGCTACCATTTTCACTATATCAATCACACAGACTTCTGGGTCCTTAGTCTCCAGTTTTTCGTGTTGTACTCGAATTGACGTCATCGAACTCACTCGTGTTACTAGGACTCACATAATCGGTAGTCTCGAATTAGACCCATCAAGTGGACTCGAAAGGCAAGCGGAAATACGTCATACTCACTTGGTTATGTATGTCGTTAAGCACGATGGGATTATTTACAATGCATCTGGGTTTGCGACTATACTGATTCGACCAATCAACTTGAGTGTAACAAGTTGTAAACAAATCAACGTGAATTAGTTTACACATGTCACAGTTAAAAGTTTTGTCTTAAAGCAATGTAGTATGCAGAAACAAAATGGAAACTTTCAATGTTTTATTTTAAAAAATAAGTGAAAAGAGCAAATAGAAATATTAGTAGCATATGTAGGAAATAATAAGAAAATGAACAGTGGAAAATTTGACAACGAATTTACAAGAAAAGGACAATTCAATTTGTGGAGAGAATTAGTTGAAAAATTAATTGCGTGCATTGGAGCTAAAAAATCCATTGTGTAATGGAAAAAGTATTTTAATTTAATCCTTTCTTCATACAGTTTTCTTTCTTGATCTATTTCTTAAATTGTTTTGTCTATTAAGATTATTTATTAATTAGAACTTAACACTTCTGATTAATAAACTTAATATAGTGTCTACGCTTTTAATAATTTATACATATAATTTACTTTTATTTTAATTCTCTTTTCGATGAATTAGATACTTTTTATTTTTGGAAAAATTTTCTGTATAATTTTATCAATTATGAATTAAATTTTTTATTAGTGTTGACTTGACACAAAAAGAAATGGCATCTATCGTGGTCGAAAAATTCATTGTCTTCTCAAACAATGTCTTTCGGCTCTTTCTAACTCTTCGGTACAATAATAATTGCGTATCTGTCAGCCATTTTCACTTTCATGTAACGATCTCACATGGTGAGATGGGAAAACATGTGAATTATAACTCGAGACTACCAATTTGACATCAGAGTGTGAGGTGGTACCACGTGACATCTTCAACACGTTGGGAGTTGTAACAAAAAACTCGAGACTAAGGGCCCTGGGCTGTGTTCAGTAATGCAGAACATCCAAGTTAGAATTCTGAATGGCTTAGTGGATGGAGCTAAGAATGTTCTGAGCATCACTAAACAATTATTCTTAGTTAGACAACTGGGGAAAATGATAGACAAAGTTAATGTTATGATTGCAAATATTGTCATAAATGAACTGGTCGAGGAGGATGAAGTAACCAATACAATTATTCAAATGGAAGTTGCGTCAGATTGTGATGGAATTAATGAAGCAATTATTAATTGTAATCAAAGAATCTCCATTGTGTTTTGTTAAAATGTATTCAGAATCTGTTATACCGATGTGTGTTAATTTTACATTTCAAAGTAGTTTTAGAATGAGTTAATGATTTGAATGAGAAAATAACATTGTGATTATTATAATAAAATACATTTAGTTCAACACGAGCCGCCATCTTGCAAATTGTACGAGTCAAAAACAATAGCGTCATTAGTGGAAGTTAGCATAGATAAAAGAAGCTGACTGAACTAGCTAGAATTCTAGCAGTGGGAGGAGTCAAGCAGTAGCTAGAAATGAGTTCAACATCACAGCATAAATAGACTTAGCAAGAATTCTCCGTTACTGAACACGGCCCTGGATACATTTCAGTTAAAGAATTAAACAAATTTAACAATATTTGTTTTTTCTGAGCTTCTCTGAGGTTTTCCTTGTGGATGTTTAACAGTATTTACATTTAAGTAATTTGACAATACACAATGTTTGAAATAACAATAGTTATTGTAATGAATGGAAAACAAAACCAAAACATTATAATGTGCATGGCCAGAAAAAAGTTTATTTTTAAATTAATGATTCAGAATGTGCAAACATTCATTAAAAATAACAATTTAACAAATATGAAATAACTACATTTATAATCATTGCTAAGTGACTAGTATTTCATTAATAATTTTATAAATGACAAACTATTTTCTGCGGATGAATGAATGCAATGCGGTTTCTAATTGATGGATGTGGGTTTAAACCAGTGGTTCTCAAAGCGGGTGCCGCGGCACCCTAAGGTGCCGCAAGAACGCCACAAGGGTGCCGTGAAATTTTTAAATAATTAAATTAAAATTACTTAAAATAATTGAATTAAAGTATTAAATTAAATAAAAAATTAAAAGATACCTTTATAATAATAACTTTTGTTTTGAATGCTTTTGTGTTGTTTGGAAATAAACTTACTTTAATAAAAAACTTTTATTTTTTTCAAAGTCTTCTCATCCTTCATATCTTTACTAACCGTAAAAAGCAAAATAATAAATAATAATAATAGGGGTGCCGTGAATTTTGTTTAATAATTTCAAGTGTGCCACCTGACAAAAAAGTTTGAGAAACACTGC